TCGGGAGACCTCACTGGCTAATTCCACGGTCCTAGACGTCTCATCCATATAATAAAATTAATGTTTACTTTTATCAATATGTTATTTTTCAGTTAAATTGATAGAAATATAAAATACTGGGAAGAGACATAGAAGTAGGTAAAACTCCCCAATACTCGCTGTATTTTGAAAACTGTTAAGCTTTTTTGTTCATTTATGATTTCTCTATTTCATGCTGAAGTAATGGCAGCCAAACTTCTTACACTCTGTACTATTTCTTACTGGAATTTGTCGTAACAATAATCGCCTTCAACTGATACGTTCAGAAAATCAAAGATCTAGTCGTTGAAAATCGCCGATTGACTGTCATGCCATGAAATTTTGGCTGGAAAATTTTGTTGTAGTTGCAGCAAAATTTGTTCCTCCGAGATGACCGAACAACAGAAAGAAAGTCGTGGACGTTTGTTAGCAACTCCTTGAATAATCCAATGACGATGAAACATTCATTCAAAGGATCATAATGGGAGACGTAAGCTATTGATGACATCAAAGAAAATTCGTCACAGACAGTAAAGGCCATTTCAAATGACGTTATCCAGAGCTGCTTCGCGGAATGGAAATGTAAGCGGACCCTGTGCATCTTGTGCACGTGAGTTGTGTGTTGCAGTATTACTTAGCCGGAGTATAAAATGTTTATTGGTGTGATGCGAATCCTCACGTTGTACAGAGATCTCGGTTCCAAAAAATCGCTTTAAGCGACTTTAAATTTAGTACAACGTGGCTATATTTTAGTAAAAATATGAAATTTAAACGGCTATTAAATAATGGTACCGGAATCAAATAGTGTCCGTCAGATTTCTAAAAGTGATTTGACGTTAAATAAGATTACAGTCTTTGGTCTGTCACGAAAACTTCCATATATTAACAATTTTTAATTTTGTTCAGTTTTTCGGAGTAAAACTAAAGGGTTTGCAGAAAAATTAAAAAAAAATCTCTAAGAAAGACTAATTCAATGAACTTAATAAGCAACAATTCCATTTATTTCATAAACTGACAGTAAATATACAAGAATGAATGCATTTTTCGACCTTTTAAACAATAATATCTATTAAAAGCGGTAACTGATAGTTAAATATACTTGAACACAAATGTAATTAGTCGGTATGAGCAGTGCCTGAACCGCCTCCCTGAGCGTTGTTGCTTAAGCTTGTTCCAGATTCACCAGAAGACCTAGAGGACATGCCCAATGAGCCCAGAACTCTTCCTAGGCCATGGATGGTACCTGCAGCATTATTTTCATTTGTGCCGCTGTTGTGGCTGCTACCCTCGTTGTTGGCTGAGCCATATCCACCCCCTGAAGCGTCCGATGACTGGGACGCTACTGGACGGAAGCATGTTCCAGACTATAATATAAAAAATATATAATATTGTATTTATCCTCACTTGAAAACAATAATTTGCTTGATCAGTCATATGATAGAATATTTCTATCTATAGTCAGTGGTTGTGGCAACAGTTTTCAATTACAATACTCTGTTTCTGAAAAGAGTAGAAAGGAAGCTTCAATCAACGAATTCTATTAAAGAAAATATGAAAGTGGTATCAAGAAAAATCGTATTTAAAGAGTTTGAGGTACTTTTTGACTTGGAAGGAATTGAGCATTTTTTTACTGAGAGAAATATACTTTAAGTGTTTATATACCGAGAAACATTGAAAAATAGAATCAGTATTTTCAACTTCAGTAATCAATAAAAGTCTCACTGTTTGGGGGACAAAAACATTGTAAGTCATATTGAAACATTATGAAAATAAATATTCAAATAATTCGTTAGTAATGTGAAAATTTACTTCAGAAATATGTCTATTATGATGTGTTAGTGTTATTACAACGAATAAATAATAGCAAAATTTTACTTACGATATATATAACCAACAGGGAACAAACTATAAAGTACTTCATGTTGACTGCAGATGCTGATAGTAACTGATGATTTGCTTTCTACAGATTCTCCTATTTATACAAAATTTTTCAATAAAATAAGACAATATCAATTTTTTTTAAGTAAGTTTATAAAGCACAAACAAGTCTGTATGCAACTTTTTTAATTAGTATCTTTCCAATCTAATGACTATCAGTTTTACGAAATGCTCATCGTCTGTTAAATTGCAAAATTTTAAAAATTAAATGAAACTGCGTGTTGCTTATAGTCTAGTGTTTCCCAAAGAAATTTTTTGATTTGAATGAGTGTCAGAATCATGGATTTTTCCTGTAAGTACGTTTTCTCATTAATAAATTAATCAATAAGTACTTACCACAGTTCTATATCTCTTCCTTACCCACAAATGTATGCCAGAATATATAAACTTCAGCATAAACTACCTATCTTTTTAAGTCTTATACAGGGTGTCTCTTTCATGTTTCAAAAAAACTTGTGTGTAAGTTCCTCATGGGAAAATAATAGGCGTAGGTAGTTCAAATAAAGTTTTTTTCTTAGATACCCTGTTTTCGAGATACAGTGTGTTGCAGTTGTTACTTTCCAAATGGTTTTCCTTAATTATCTTTAAATCGGCTAAAGATAAAAATGTCAAAATTTGTACACGAGTAAACATCAACTGTGCGTTAAGAATAATGTGTAAATGGTTTATTTCTTAAAAGCAATGTCGCCGATACAAGTAATTGAAGGGGTACAATCGAAGATAAATTATCACTAAAGGATACTACAAAAAAAGGTATACTTGTCGGTAACATGTACCATTTTCGAGAAAAATGAAGTTGCATTTTTTTTGCTCACATAAAGCGGCACAAGTACATTAACAAAATATTGAATTGAAAGAGGACCTTATACCATTGAATGAGCTGAAGACATTTAGCTACCAGCAGTATTTGCATTTAAGACTATAATTTTAATTTCTTACGTATCACATGAAACAGTTACATTGTAAAACATTTTATTAACTAAAAAAAAAAAATTTTAACTTATTTTAAGTTTCAGTTTGTTATAAACTAACATTTGAAAAATAAATCAAAATAAACAGATTATGGTAATTATAAAATGAATGCTTAAAAAAAGTGATAAAAACAAAAAAATATTAGTAAACAGACTCGGAGACATACAGAACAAAACAGCTGCACAATTAAATAAATGTGTAAACTCGAAATACTACAGTAGGTATTGAAATTGTCCCCCATTTCCTTCTATGCAACTTCATTTTTCTCGAAAATGGTACATGCTACCGAATTTCCACAAATATACCTTTTTTTTTGTAGTATGCTTTAGAGTTTACAGAACCCTTTAGTAATGTAATAAATTTTGACTTTTAACATATTTTTTTTCGATTGTACCTCTCCAATTACCTGTATCGGCGACACTGTATCTCGAAAACAGGGTGTCTAAGAAAAAATCTTTATACGAACTACCCCTATTATTTTTCCATGAGGATCTTGCACACAAGTTTTTTTGAAACATGAACAAGACACCCTGTATATTGGCATAGGTATTTGTGCTTCAATTCCTGTAATAACTTAACGATGTTTTGTTTCAAATCATTAATCGCGTGGGGATTATCTGCAAACAATTTTCCCGTAAAATATCCAAAAAAATCTAAAGGGACCAAATCACACAATTTTGAAGACTAATTGAAATCATCGTTCCCAGAAATAATATTGCCTCAGGAAGCCAATGTTTCTCACATTGACACATTGCAATTTATACAAATGATAACCAGTGGTATCGGAATCATGGGAGATCCGAGCGGTATCAGAGAGTGGAAGAGAGTTTTCCTCTACAGATTTAGATAGACGATTTCTAATGTTTCTTGTAGTCTGTAGGGTTTTCGAGCAAAATCCAAATACCATCTAGATTCTAGAAGGTTATAGATGAATGCCAATTACTCTGCTTTAATTCTTCAAAAATTAGGGATACCTAATTATGGAAAAGTTCACTAAAAGAAATGCGCCTTATTCTTTATTAGAATTTTTGTAGAGAATATTGTAGAATATATGTGACAGATAAACAGGTAAATATTGGATATAAAACGGGTATTGCTAACACAGTTGTATAGTGACTATAAACCACCTTTATTAAATTATTTTATAACTAGGATAAGTTGTTTATGCTTTTTGCGACATGATAGTCATAACTATTAATCTCACAAAAAATGTATCTATCCGTCTATACTCAGCCAACTAGAAGAAGCGTAATAGTCGATGCACAGCGGACTGTCGGAAATTTTACGATCATAACCGATTATGCACCAAAAGATGATGATCACTTAACCTTTTTAAGACTCGTTTTACACTTTAAAAACGGAAACATAATCATTATAAAAACGAATAATTCTGTTAATACAACTATTGTATACAGACTCGAATATTGGTCTTTATAGAACAACCCTTTCCTACTACACAAATGGAATATAAAACCTATCTAAGTGCATTCCAGTTAAAACTGTTTGAATAATGATTAATGAGTATGTAGATGAGTGTTATTTCTCAATAAAAATGTATATTTGTTATAAATGTTTTATATGCGCTATACACATTATTCTAGAGGAACAGAGTAATAAGGCCATTTCTTTCAGTGATTGCTTCTCTAGATTCTATCAATTTTCAATTAAATACAACAATGTTCCTAAATTTGTTATGGTTTTCATAATTTTAACCGTCATCTTTTGATTTAGGTAGATAATTTAAATATAGTATGTCCAAATCAAAAAAAAAAATCCTTGTAAGCATAAATGGGATGTTTCTAACAGTTGCAACTTAAAATTTTGTTGGTCTACAACAGACATTGATTAAATGTGTAGAATGGCCCAAGAGACAACCTAGCGAAGACGTGAAGAAAACTTCATTTCGAAAAAGAAATGCCTCAGAATTTGGTATTTCATGAAAACTTCCATATACTATTAATAATTCCTCATTTTGTTCAGTTTTTCGTAAGAAAACTAAAGTTGCAGAAAAATTAGAAAGGTTCTTGAAGAAATACTAATTCAATGTATTTAATAGGCAACAATTTCGTTTATTTCCTAAACTAACTGTAAATATACAAGAATGAGTGCATTTTTCAACGTTTTAAACAATAATATCTATTAACAGTAACTGATAGTTAAATATACTCGAACACAAATATAATTATCCGGTATGAGCAGTGGCTGAACCTCCACCCTGAGCGTTGTTGCTTAAGTTTGTTCCAGATTCTCCAGAAGACCTAGAAGACATGCCCAACGAGCCCAAAACTCTTCCTAGGCCGCGGATGGTACCTGAGGCATTATTTTCGTTCGTGCCGCTGTTGTGGCTGCTACCCTCGTTGTTGGCCGAGCCATATCCACCACCTGAGGCGTCAGATGACTGCGACGCCACTGGACGGAAGCAAGTTGCAGACTGCAATAAAGAAAATATATAATATTGCATTCATCGTCATACTCGTCGTGTTAATGACTGACTTTGAATCCAATTTTAATCAACTCACGTTTAAATATTTGCAAGAAAGTGATATTTTCAAGTCAACACTTGTTTTTGAAAAGAGTAGACACTTCTAAGGGAAGGAATCAGAAACAATAATTTTGATTCATTAATTAATATCTTTTTTTTTGTAATATAAAAGCATGGTTTACATTTTAACGTGAAATTTGATCATACCAAAATATTTGAAAAAAATTGTTAAAAGAAAAAATTCAGATAATTCGTTATTAAAGTGAAAATTTTGTACAACGAATAGCTACTGGTAAAATTTTACTTACGATGTATATGACCAACAAGGCACAAACTACGAAGTATTTCATGTTGACTACAGATGCTGAGAGTAACTGACAATTTGCTTTCTACAGATTCTTCTATTTATACAAAAATTTTAAATCAAATAAGATAATATTATTTTTTTTGAATAAGTTGGTAAAGCATAAGTCCGCTTGCATATTTTTTAATTAACATCTTTCCAATCTAATAGTTAATCAGTTTTGCGAAATGCTCATCATCTGTAAAATTGCAATATTTCAAATTTAAGTAAAAATGCATGTTGCTTATTGCCTTGTGCTTCTCTAAAATACTTTTCTGAATGAATGTCACAACCATAGATTTTCTTATGTAAAAACTGATTATTTAGAACTTACCACTATTCTGTATGTTTGACTTACTCACAAATGTATGCCAAATATATAAATTTTAGAAAAAAAAAAACGAAATGAATGTATTTTTAAATATTATAAAGGATGCGAGTGTCAACCGAAATTGTGTCTGTAACCAAGGGTTGTCAGTAAACAAACAATATTTTTTTGAATTGAAATCACGTCGAAATCCTAAAACCAAGATTGAAAAAATGGAAAATGTGGAAAGTCTATCTGAATTTAGAGAAGGACTGAAGGAATTTCAAGATTGGAAAATCAAAGAAGGGGTGAAGATGTCTTACTGGCTTATTTTTTCCATTTAAGTGAGAAATTAGCTCCATGTTGAAGTCAACTTTGAGAGTTTATAAGAACATTGAAATTTCTAAATTCGGAAGACTAGCGGCATTTCTAAAGTCTAAGCACAAACATTTTCAACCAAAAAATCCAAGGTCTTAAAAAGAGAACAAATCGAACAATTTTTGCGTGAAGCCCTAGACGAAGATCATCTTGTGAATAATGTAGGTTCTACTGAATAGTTTAATTGAGTTATATTCATTAAATTTGTTGTTTTTGGGTGGCGTTGATATTAGCAGCTGGCGCTTGCCGTTGCGAGGAATTGACCCATCTAAGCATAGACAATATAGCCATCTAAGCATAGACAATATAGAGGATATACTGCCCATATACATATCATAATTTCAAATACTAAAACGAACAAACCAAGAAGCTTCGCTGTGTTAAATGAAGGAGAATGAAGCTAAAGCCTCAAAATGAGTAGCATAAAAGGTTCTTTTGCAATTTTCAAAAGGGAAAATGCACACGTCAATGTGTTGGTATTAATAAGCTATCAAAAATCCCCACTGTTGTTGCGCGATTTTTGGGCTTGACAGATTCTAATTTATATACAGGGCATGGCAACTCTCTTGGGCAATGCTGGAGGGGATATTACAACACTCAAACGCCACGGTGGATGGAAGTCATCTATCGTGGCAGAGGGTTATATAGAAGAGTCCATTTCCAGCACAACTGATATTGCTAAAAAGATACAAGCAGTGGCGGCTCGTGAAGGAGGACTCTGGGACTCCGCCCCCCCCCCAGATATTTTCAAACTATAAACTTAAAATAATGTATTTATTTAAATCAATAAGAAATCTAAATAGCATGCATTCTATATCTCTTGGATGTTAGGTTGGTTGCATAAAGTGCATGTACTCCGTGAACGTAGCTCAGATTAATGCCATCTGTCATCTATGATCGTACCAAAGAGTTATGTTTAACCGCGCGCGCAATCCCCACTCCATCGCGGACCGTGAAATCTGAGTCCATCGTGCAAGCATATTTTTACATATGATTGGACAAATTGGCACGTGGAGGGGATAGGCGACGATAGGCTCGCGCGCTCGCGCGCTTTGTTTTGGGACTCCATGAGGCAGTAACCCGTATCACTGAAGTGTGGTTATATGTGTTTTGTTTTTGCTTTGGCGCTTTTTAAGACATTATATTTTATAAGTTTAAGTTTAAAATGAGGGTTTGTGAAATAAAAAAACTTGTTATTAGTAATTTAAGTTTAGAGGAAAAAGTCGAATTGAAAAATAACGGACGTCCAACGCCAGTGTTGAATTTAGTTGAGGTGCAGAAAGAGTGCAAAAAGTGGGCCGGCTTTCGCAAATTTGATAAAAACATTTATGATAAGACCCTGTGGTTGTGTGGTTGTGACCAAACAAATAGATTTTTTTGTTTTGTATGTTTATTGTTTGGAGGAGGCGAAGAAAACTGGACGAAAACTGGAGTTTCTGACTTGAAACATTTAGAAATTAAAATTAAGAAACATGAAAATTCTCCTAAACACAAAAATAAGTTGGTGAGTTTTTTACTTTTAGGAAGAGTAAATATTGCTTCTTGTTTAAATAGTGCTTATGCAGAACAAATAAATAGTAAATAGTCATAACGAAACAGTTAAGAAAAATCGATTGCTTCTTTCAAAAATTTTAAATATCTTAAAACTATGTGGTACATGTAACCTTTCTCTTCGTGGACATAATAAAAAAAGTGACTCGGTAAACAAAGGGGTATTTTTAGAACTGATAGACTATAGTGCAAAAATTGATCCCGTTTTAGATAAACATCTTAGTGATGCCCATGTTTTTAAAGGAACTTCAAAAACTATACAGAATGAACTATTACAGTAATCTACATAATTATATCCTAACTGGGTTGGTTGATCGATTATCCACTTCAGCCCCCACACGTTGGAATTTTATTTCTCGCATTGTATCTAAGTAGCTACTTTACACACTGACAGTATTCATTTTGGGGTACTTGCAAAACACAATGACCTTCAAATTCCTTAAAATTTTTCAGAATGCGCCCCCCTGTATTCAAACCCACGGGCCGCCACTGGATACAAGGGGTACAGACTCCTGAAGCAAGCACAAGTAAAGGGGCAACCTGTTCTATAAATTTACCACAATCACAAAATGATTCCAATAATCCTTTGGCGTCAAATTACGGCTTTAGCGTAAATGTTAATGTTAATATTAATAAGTAGGTAGATTGTAAGTTTGTAGCATTTTAGGTTATTTGTTGACTTATTACTGTTTCAAATTGGTTTTCTAATAAAAGCTAGAAAAATAAACCAAACATTTGTCTTTTTATGATTACTAGTCACTAGTGGGTAAAAGTCATAACTTACTAGTAACTTATGACTTATAATTCACTAGTGACTTATAGGCCACATTATTCCTTTAAAACCAAAAAAATATGGTATCATTATATATAAGTGTTGGATAAAATAATTTATAACTGTTCGAATAAATATGTATTGTTTCTAAATAATATATGACAGTTTTACAAATATTCTTCTTTTTTACTTCTTTCCTAGTAAATCATGAATATTAATACAGCGTAAAATTATTTTTCATACGATTACTATTACATATGGTTAGGTTAGGCAAAATTTTTATTGACACATACTCTCTCCAAACTTCTTATATAGCTTCATTAGGCCTAGTCTGACACCTTTTTCCTCTGTGGCTTTTTTCGATTTTGGGGCGTTTTCCCTCTAATTTTTCCGAAACATGTCGTTGTGGCGACATATGAAAAATTTATAGATACTGTTTTTTTTTTAAATTGAATAGCTTAAAAACGTCAAATAAAACGTGAAAATAAAGTTCTCTGACAAAAGATATGAGCCGTTCAAAATGTCTGCAACCTCGAACATATATCTAATAAGGCTAATTTTATTACACAATCAACTACACGAGGTGCCACTGGTGCGAAAACATGACTACATAAATCATACCGGAAATGAGAGTGTGCAAAAAATTTTTCACCGTCCGGAAATCATTACACGCAATCAATTTATGTGGCGAAAAACATTATTCTTTTGTCAACGTTATCACAAAGGTGTGAATGCGATTATCTACCAGTGATACTTTTTTAAATACGATGACTATGAGACTGATTTTGACAACCATATTTTTGCTAATTGCGGTAAGTACTTACATTAAAATAGTGCGTTTAAAAAAATAAATAAATAAAGTACTGCACGGTTGTGACTCATCACAGTCCTTTGAATATATAACAAATCGGTGTAATTTTTTCATTTTAGAGCGTACAATGTCAGTACAACCAAGGCGCGCCCATTAACTTCGGCCCACCGCCTGGCAACTACTTTAGTGGTGGGTTCAATCCAATGGGTCAACAAGCACAAGACGGATCTGTTGGACAGTTTGGTCCTTTCAGGCCGTTTGGACCTCCAGGAGACTTTGGATACATGCAGGGAAGTCAAGGGATGCAATGTAAAACGGTATGCACGGAAGCTAGTAGTGGAGAAGCCTCAGAAGATGATAATACGGAAACTGTGACCACAAAATCTGTTTAGCGCTAAATAGAAAAAAGAATTATAATAAAAAAATTTACTACGGAAAAATAACTTTGTGTTTCTGTTTCTTGTCAAAAATAATTAGCGTCGGTATACAGGGTGAAGCACTAAGGTCGGCGACGTAGGATATTAGGGAAAGTATTGACCCTAGAACTTCGGAAAAAATCCAGAATGATTGAAGTGTTTGGAGATCGCAGCCAGTGCCTGTCTCTGTCAATACTACACATTTTTCCACTCATAATTGTAGTGATACAACAGCGGTACCGTTTTGACACATTATATAAATATTAGTTTTTGTAAGTAACAAATCAGTAAAAACAAAGCAAAACTAGTACAACGCCACACAATTATTTACATATTCCAATAACATAACCTCATTACTGATCTGAGGCTGGAAATCTGTTGGGTTGGTACCTACTTCTGAACTTCACGAAGAAATTGACGAAAATTAGAACATGCTCTAATTCGTCAAGAACTTGATGAATAAATTCATCATGCAGTTATTTGACAGCAGATTTGGTGCACTTGTCCAATTTCTTGATGAAGCGACTTCATGAATTAATTATTGATCAATAAATTGTCAATGTAAAGCAGCTATTAGAAATGCTGCCAGGTATATTAAATAGTACAAATATGGATAGCCGGATTCATTCATAACTTTTGTTATTGACATTTTGTTCTATTCCTCGACAGAAAGGGTGGGGGAAGCCCCTAATATCTGATCAGTAAAATGTATTTTTTAAGGATTGGCTCATCAAAAGCCCATCGTGTTATATCTCGTTGGAAAGGTCTTTTCATGTTTTATCTTCGTGGTGAATGCGTAAAAAATTGATGAATAAATTATAAATTTGAATATAAGTTTGAAAATAACGAAAGTGCTGTTTATTTGTTGGTGCTATTTATCTAAGTTTAGGTTGTTTAACGTTTTCTTAAAAACGTGAAATAGCAGGATAAAACTTGATATAACTAAATAATATGGTGAAACTAGCGCCCTCTAGGAGTAACGTCAAAATAAGCTTTAAATTCGTAATTCCCATACCAAAAAACCCAACACTACCAATTTTCAGAGTCATGCTATCAAAACTTCCTCAGTTATTGAGAAATTTCAGAATAAAATTTAAACCTTGAACACCCTGTATTGCTTATACCAGCGACATTCGTATAAGGCATGATAATCTCAAACATAATATTTTGGTGTCTAGTGTTTCCAGCTTAGTGTTGACCCATTATTTCTGACTCACCCTGTATTCCTGGTTCCTCAGCCAGACGTCAGCCCCTTCGATCAAGCTCAGCTTGTCGTAGGTGTCTTAATTCTCAGGGCCCATTTAATAGGCCATGCACAATTCATAGGATGAGTCTATTAGTTATAAATGACTTAGGATGAGTTAATCTAGGCAATTCTGGTCAGCAATCAAGTGTTTTCCCTTCCCAAGTCAGGAGGGCTACTTTAGAGTAGTGGAAGCTACATCTAGAGCTGGTTCTGGTCGAATAAAGTTTGAGGCAGCACCCTCTCTACCTAGTCGGTCACCTCTTCTCCTGTAGATCTGAATGGTCAAGTATTAAGATCAGAGTTATTATTTCCTCACTGCACCAGAGCATTCCAGTGGTTTTAAACAGTTCTTGAATTACGTCGGTAGGATCTAAGAGCTTCCAGAACTGCTTAAAGATTTTTATAGACTTTCGTGTAAGTTACAATTATTTCAGGCTGCATACAAGCAACTCAGTGGTATTCATTTCTGGTTTGGTCTCTGGATTGCAACCATATATTCCGGTTCCGACACCTTTTGAAGTTTTGGAATCGTCTGTAAACCAAGAATTATCTTTCTCCAATAGATTTCTGATTTCTTCCAGCAATATTTTGTGTCCATTAGTGTCAGTTTTGACATACTAATAGCGCATTCCTCAATCTGCATATTGCCCCCACGTCCTACGTACCAGGATTTTCTACAAATGCATTGATAGCTCCACAAAAACATTCTTGTTCTGTGAACAATTTCCTTCACAAGAGAGCGTATAGAATAATGTCAAAATATTTCATGTCCTTCGCAAATGATATTGTCTTCCCGAACAAGCTGTGGAGTATCAAATGGACTAAAATAGAATATTTCTGTAAATATAGTTAATCAATAGAAACTAATGGCAACTGGCAACTAATGAACAGAGTATTGAGGCAATTGCACCATGAAGCAAATATTTTACACTGTATTCGAGAATATTTTAATTCAATTCTTTTTTGTTATTCCCATCATTTATTTATAGATGGAATAGAATGGAAATAGTATCTAATGGCGAAGTTATAAACTTATAATAAATGAAGTCTAATAGTAACACAATTTTGTGTGGAGTTGCAATGAACGTTCAATCCAAAATTTGACGAAAACTTTATTTACATCCAACCAGATAAGTTCGTTGCGTCTTGTACTCTTCTTAAGCAATTTCCTTGGTATAATTAAAGTATTTTCACCAAAGCATTTTCTATTTTTATTTACAGCACGTTGAAGACATATTATACACTTTATAGCTTGTCTATATTGCCTGTCTTTTTCTATACCTTACATACACTTTTAATTATATGTTTCTCTTTAAAGGTACTCAAATTGATGAATTTAACAATAGCATATGTGTATTAGTAATAAGATGACAATAGTTAGTATTAATCTTTAATAATTTAATAAAAAATATAAATTCAATAACGTAATAACATGTATACCTAAAAAAATTTAATGTTAAAATACATGATTCTTTATTAAATACACTTATTTTGTAGTGAAAGTATAATATTAACCCCAGAATACCACTGCTATCTTCACCCACTCGTCAGGCAGCACCTTAAATGTACTATTTTAAATATTTTACAATACATAGACATAAACTTAGTACAACACGCTTCTTCCTGATCGTCCACCTCCTCTAGAACCGCCAGTACCTCCTTGTTCTCTCGAATTTCCACCAGTCGAAGATCCACCCGTTCTATTTCCTCCTTGTCCTGCTGCTTCCTGACTAACACTCTGCCCCGCATCTCGTCCAACGTTTCCATCTTCCTCACCTAACCCCTCACCACCTTCTGAAGGAGCGGCTTGTCCTCCACCTGCAGCAGCCGCTGGGGAAGGTTCTTCAGAAGGTGCTTGTCCTTCTTGGTCTGGTGCTGGTGCTTCCGGTTGAGTCGAGGCTCCTTGACCTGCTTCTGGGGAAGGTGATGGTGATGGCGATGATGGTGAAGCTTCCGCAGCTGGTGATTGCGTTGATTGACCTGGGGCTTGACCTGGAGACTGTCCTTGTCCTTGGGGTGGGGTAGGTTCGCGGGCTGCGTCTCTACCTCCTCCTGGTTGCTGCCGTCCCCCTAGCTGCCTTTGGGCTAGGGCGGAGTTTGTGGTACCATTCTGAAAAAGCAGATAATAACGTAACTGTTTCCAAATGGCGCTGAATACATTTAACTAAGAAAAAGACTTATGATTGAAAAGCAAGGAGTAATAAATTATGTATTTAGGTCAGCATCACAGCTTTATCAGTAGTAAATTTGTCCAACAAAAGAATACGTGGTATTTCAGTGCATGTGGTCATAGAGAAAGTTTAATAACCGCTCAGCGCACATTTTTGGAGATACATTAATACTGATAGCAAAAATCGATTCCTCATGTCATTTAATATAAGACAACACATTTGTGTCCTAAAATTTTGAAAAACAAGTGAAATACGGCTAAAAAAAGAAATAATCAGTTTTCTTCAAAAATCTTCGAAACTATTAGGAATTTCCTAAATTTGAAAACGAATCCGTGATCGCCACAAAATTCTGCTTATTTTTGCTAATTTAACCAATTCTGTAGGTATGTCTTAAAATAAGAAAGATAACTGTATAGGACAATTGAAAAGTTGTAACCTTCTATATTAATTTGTTGAAGTAGTAATTTGGTTGAATTCATATTTTCAATAATTGCATGTTAATATTAAATTTGTTATTGAAACAGAAAAAAGTAACTCATTAAACTTTTTTGACCTAAATATTTGCAGAGTTAATAATTCACATGAATTTAAAATATTTCGGAAACCTTCACAAGCTTCTCGTACGAACCAGGAGACTCTAATTTTTGCTACATTCTGTTGATGTCTTTTACCTTAACTACAGTTAATGTCGAAGACCAAACGTCACTTCAGCAAACTCGTTACAAAAAAATATACATCACTACTCTACCTATTTTGAAGAGCTTCAACATTTTTTCACCGTCAGCAGCTCTACCTAGCGAAAGTTCAAAAGAGGATTCCAATAATTTAAATTAGACTTCAATGAGGTTTAACTAATAACCAACGACATTGACGTTAGCGGCTTAAAAAAACCGTTACTTACCAAAATAAGGGCTGATACACAGAACACAAGAGCCAACCTCATTTTGATATATTTACTGGTGTTTAAACAGACACTGTTAAAAAACGGCATGCCTTCGGGCTATTTAAGCTGGTCTTGAATAGCGAAAAATCGCAAATTTTACGGTGCAATACTAATCGTCGGCATTGTTTATCATATTATTGTGCAATCTATTTATTTTTAAATCCTGCAGACTCATCCTTCGCTTTAATGGAAAAATTCGCCTCTCGCACTTCTCACATTAACGTATTTCCCAGAATATCCGCAAATACAACGCCCGTGAATAATTTTACGTAATGCAATTTTGGGACGGAAACCTCCGATTGCTATTATAGCCACATGCATTTCGCATAATGTCGATGAAAAACTAGTTTTAAATATTTTATACAATTGAACGAAAAAATAAAAATATTATGATCGTAAAATTTCCGACAGTCCCTGTGCATCGACTATGACGCTTCTCCTAGTTGGATGAGAATAGACAGTACAGACACATGTTTTGTGGTATACATGGTCATACCACGTTTTATGAAGTGGAAAGTTATCTGAGTATTTAACTGTTTTATAGTTTGCAATTGTTTTGTTTTTTCATATTTAAATCTTGCCGAAATCTTAACAATTATTATCTTGTGTGCCCTATTAGAAACCGCTGATCTTAAGCTTTACACAAGATGGAGGAACAAAAGGCTAGGGATGACAAAGTAAAATACGAGTAAAATCCCTAAGATTCGCCGTTCTCAAGTTATTCATACCAATACAATTCCTTGTGGCAGACACTTCTAACCATAATATTACAAGAATATTTATGTTTTATGTTTATGCTTAAAAGAAAGTGCAATTTGTAAACACATCAACAAAATTATTTACACTCCTTTCTACACCGCCTGTTAACGTTACGTATAACAACAATTGTTCAAAACACACATTTCTGACGTCTATTGATTGAATTAATTGAAGCTAATATCATGTGGTGGTTTTCTTTTAATTCATTACACCCGTCTTCTATTCGTTGCAGTAGTTGTGGTCTTGTATCTGCTGGAGTAGAATAAACTTTACTTTTCAGATAACTCCAAATATAGAAGTCCAGGGGGTTTAGATATGTCAATCTGGCTGGCCAAGACACTGGACCCTATGCACCATTATGGTTGATATTGGTATTTGGTCTTCATTTTCATTAAGCCATTCTTATATTATTCTCCCAGAATGCGCAGGAGCACCGTCTATTGTATCCTGCTGTTTTGTCGTATATTTAATGGAATATCCTCTAATAATTCAAATAGATGGTTTTCTAGAAAGTTTAGAAAAGACTGGGAATTTAGACGGGATGGCAAGAAGAAAGGTCCACAAACTTTATTGCAAATTATTTCGAGCCACACGTTCACAGAAAATTCGTGCTGAAAAGATATTGTCCGAATTTCATGAGAATTTTCTTGTGACCAAATATGCAGATTATGAAAATTCACTACCCCTCGCCTTTGGTAAATGTACATTTATTATTATTTTGATTTAAGTTGTTCTTATTTGTAAAGATAGTGGATTAGGCTTCCAAGGGAAACTAAAACGCGTAAGGAACTCACAGGTGGTGTGGAAACGAGTGTAAAGAATTCTGTGACTGTGCTTACAAATTCCACTTACTTTTAAGCATAAACATAAATATTCTTGTATTATTATGGTTAGAAATGTCTGCCACAAGGGAATTGTATTGGTATGATTAACTTGAAAATGGCGAATCTTAGGGAAAAAATTCAAGTTACAGTAATTTGTAAAAAATGCAGTGGCGTAGGTTTTTTTATAAAAAAGACGATGAACCCTTTCCAGTTGTACACCACTGGTTGTACCTTTAGAGCTAATATTTTAGGTAATACAAGGCCTACTATAATATATTATCTGCACCAAATTTTATTGAGATCGATTAATAGATTCCTGAGATATAAACAAAAAATTATTTTTTTAACAACTTCAACACCCTGTATCTCTAAAACGGGCTGTTCCAGACTAATGTTTATAAGGCAAACACATATTATTTTAAAGAGATCTATCTGCCCTCGAAGTTTCCTGCATAAAATTTTGACCACGGTGTATAGAATATTCACCTGTTTATCTATAAAATATAGTACCTATGTAATATTTTTCTATGACATTTAGAATTCTAATAGATAATAAAGTGCATTTCTTTCGGTGGGTTTACTCCAATTTTGAAGATTTTTATTTATATTTATATACACTATAATAGGATTCGGATTTTTCAACATTTTTGCGGATGCGCTAATGTTAACAATATTAAAAACTGAATACATATCGTCCCTCTTATCACACATACGCCTCTACGTGATAATGGGGACGATATGTTAAACTAGGCAATTATTTATTTTATCCACGACTATTGTATAATGTACCCATTATACGTCTGTTTGCTCGACCTTAATAATACCCATTAATCACGGCAGTGATTAATGAGTCATTAATCACTACTGTCAGATGCTTCCTTAATTTAGCTATAATATTATATTGTTCTGCTACAAACAATCCGTTTTTAAAATTTTATCGTGTAAACCACTAAATATTTTCAATTCAGTGCTGTACATATAAAAAAAAAATTAAAAAAGTGAATTTTCCTAGACCGGATTCGAACCCGGGACCCGCGGTTGGAAGGGAAAGAGCATCTACACTGAGCCATCAGCGACTTCATTTGTGTGAGTCGTATATCTGTTTCTTAACATACCATGTTTTTCGAAACATTTCATAAACCTAAGTAACTTTTAAAACAAAACAAATTTGACTCAAACCTGTCAACATTATTGTTTGTGTGCATAGATTTCTCAGTGTTTTGATATTTTGTGTTAAATTGTGTTAAAAAACGAACTAAAAACAAAAAAAACTTCAACAAAAATATTTAGTAGTCGTGGATAAAGTATAGTATTCTACTCCCGTATAATGGCTATTATCCACTCGGTGATTTAGGCCACTCGCCTGCGGCTCGTGGCCGTAAACTTCACCTCGAGAATAATACCCATCATTATACGCTCGTTGAATAATATACTATTAAAACAGAAGAGTATGACTGTTTAGATATTTATATTAAAAAAAAAACTAAATCAATCAATGAAGTGTAGTTTTTAATAGATCTCATTTTTAGGTATGATAATTTGTTATAATTTCACATTTTGAAAATGCTGTTTAGCAATTTTTTAAGTTTTCAGAGTAACATAACCTTTCGGGAGTCTATTTAATAGAAATATTTTGTTAGGGTTAATTAATTTTTACTTATGACGAAAAATATTTGAGAAAATAGATTATTGACCTTTGAATAAAACAACGATGTATTTGCCATTATTTATTACATCAAATTGATATTAGAAACAATATATTTTATTTACGACCACTTCCTCCACCAAAACCTCCATTTCCTCCAAAGCCTCCGTTTCCACTAGATCCTCCACCATTACCACCTCCAAAGCCTCCGCTTCCACTAGATCCTCCACTATTACCACCTCCAAAGCCACCGCTTCCATTAGATCCACCACTATTTCCACCTCCAAAGCCTCCACTTCCACTAGATCCTCCCCCATTACCACCCCCAAACCCTCCGCTTCCATTAGATCCACCCCCAAAGCCTCCGCTTCCACTAGATCCACCCCCAAAGTTCGATTGGCTACCCCCTTGTCCACCTCCCTGTCCACCAGACTGACTGCTCTGACCGCCTTGTGAAAAACCTCCTTGGCCTCCTTGCGAACTACCCCATTGGCCTCCTTGCGAACTACCTCCCATGCCACCCCCTTGGCCTCCTTGTTGGCCACCTCCCATACCACCCCCTTGGCCTCCTTGTTGACCACCCCCTTGACTGAAGCCTTGACCGAAGCCTTGGCCTTGAACGTTGTTTTCGGCCTGAAAATATGTTATTTAGTTTTCTAATAAGACAGGAGAGATAATTTGTTGCTAAACAGGCTGTTAATTCGCCTCTCACTACAGGGATCTCGGGAACGGTAAGAGGTACGAAGTTAAATGGGAGCTGCCTCAGCCCGAACCAGATTCAGACGTTTTGTCTCGAAAAATTCATCTTCAGTGTAGGTATTCGTTCCAAATTTATCTAAATTTTTTATTTAGATTTCTTTGTTTATTGAATTATCGTACACTGTAAGTGTCGTTAGACCCTGCGAAATCCATCTAGTTATTTAAACTATTACCACTGCGCATTAAAATAATATTAGAGTTTTATTTCCGTGTCCATAGTTATTTCTAGGCTTCTCGAGTGCCCAAAATTCAAACAAATCTCGATCTATTTTTTTTCAGGATATTCATACAAATACCTACTTCTGACATGCTCTTTCACAGTTGTAGTTACAGATCTAATAAATTCCGATAATATTACGCTGATCTTCATTTTTAACCTTTGCCAAAACGAAACTGTTGTTGAATATTTACTGAAATTTTTTAAAGAATATTCAGTTGGCGTTTTGGTTGTTCATATGCATTTTTAAGAATTAATTTGTCATAATAAAATTAAAATTGTAATAATGTTTCAATTTTGACGCAACAACTTATTGCGTTATGTATGTCCAAGTGATGGTAATAGTTAATAATAATAAATGTTTTATTATAACGGATGGTGGTAATAGTTTAAATAACTAGATGGATTTCACAGGGTCTAACGACACTTACAGTGTACGATAATTCAATAAACAAAGAAATCTAAATAAAAAATTTAGATACATTTGGAACGAATACACTGAAGATGAATTTTTCGAGACAAAACGTCTGAATCTGGTTCGGACTGAGATAATACAGTATTGGGGGACATGAAGGCTTGCAAAAAATGTAATAAAATTTCTAGGGTCGTTTTTAAAAAAATAAAGTTGGTGATTGATGAACGTTACATACAAAAATTGATTATGCTATTCCATTAGAGGGCAAAAAGTGGCCATGAGAAAGTGTTGTTTCTTTTTCAATATTACCTCAAACAAGGCTGAAATGAAACAAAAACGGATATCCAAAATTTCGTTTTTTTTCAAATATTTCTAAACTAACATGTTAGCCTTGATTTTTTACAGACACAATGTTGGTCCCCTGATTACGCAACATTGACCCCATTTAAACTACTTCGTAGCTCTTACCGTTTCCGTAACAGCCTGTATAGTAGTGCCCTATATCACAAGTTCTTTTTCTTACTCGTCTAGTACTATCAGCTTCAGATATTTGTTATTTTTTTATCACAGTTAATTGCGTTTTTTTCGGAAGATCGTGCATTTTTATTTAACCTGAAAAAAAAAATATCTAAAGGTTACTGAGATAGATAGCAACTAGCGACCTCTGCAAAATAGTCGAAAAGTTACATTAAATAAAAATTATACCAGACTAATAAAAGGTCTTAGCACAAATAACACAATTTAAATCTGATTCAAATATCAGTAACGCTGAAGTCAAAGAGCATAAGCATAAATAAACCTTCCAATATATATATATATATATACAGGGTGTCTCACATTTAAATAGCAGGACTTCAGGAATCAGTAGAAGACCTCATTTTGAGTCTAAAAGTTCCTATATATATGGGTCCTAAAACGCTTAGTTTCTGAGATACAGGGCGTTCAATTTTATTTTTGTTTTATTTATTTATTTTTTAACTAAATAACCGCTGACAAAAAAAATCATCATGTTGCGGCGAAAGACTTAGTATTTGAGGGCAAATAATTTGACACAGAAAATCATCGCATATTAGTTCCAGTGGTGGAGATAGAGGGGTCTCTATGCATATTTTTATAAAAAAAAGTATAGCCGATTTGATATTTTGCAAATGTTTTCGAAAAATATGAAAGAGCATTCAATTTTACCCAGAAAAGGCCCTCTTGTCCAAAGTCGATAGGAGGTGGCGTTTTCAAGAAAAACCGAAAATACTGTTTAGAAGTCAAATTAAGAAAAACCGAAAATACTGTTTAGAAATCAAATCAGACTTGAAATGTCATTCTAATATTGACATTTGCGCTTATTTTATTATAGTTTCTAATTGTGTGTAGAGTATTAAAAAAAATTGCAACAAATTCAAAATGCCGTTTAAGTTTACGAACCAAGAATACGCAGATATTCACTTCATATACGGGTTTGCCAATGGGAACTCGGCAGAAGCTGCTAGGGAATATCGGAGACGATTTCCTAATAGAAGACAGCCGCATCCACACGTTTTTATTAATGTTCATCAACGTTTCGCTAATGACGGATTGAATCTGGTCCATAGGGATCGCAACATAATTAACGTTAATATTGGCAGAAATAGGAGGAATCAGCGAATCTTGCACGAATTTGACAGAGATCCCACGACGAGTACCAGAAAAATTTCCAGGATTATTGGTGTTTCCAGGTGCACTATTTCTAGAACATTAAGACGAGATCATAGACATCCCTACCACTTACAACCTGTTCAGGGTTTACGTCCGGGTGACGAGGAACATAGAATAGCTTTTTCTCGGTGGATTCTTAACTCAATTGAAAACGACGGAAATTTTTTATCACACATATTATGGACCGACGAGTCATGTTTTACTCGTCGAGGTGTGACAAATTTACACAATCAGCATGAGTGGGCACATGAAAACCCGCATGCAATCAGACCACGAAATTTTCAGCACGAATTTAGTGTTAATATTTGGCTCGGCGTTTATAACAATTGTCTTTTCGGCCCTTACATCTTACCTCAACGACTGAATTCTGCGAATTTCTTAGAGTTCTTAGAGACCGAGAGTGCCAACATGTGGGAGGAAATTCCTCTGAATTTAAGAATGCGAGCATGGTTTCAACTTGATGGCTGTCCAGCTCATTTTGGCCGAAATGTCAGGAACTGGTTGAACACCCACTTTCCCGAAAAATGGATTGGCCGCGGGGGTATCGTTGCATGGCCTCCCCGATCCCCTGATCTGACACCCCTAGATTTTTTCCTCTGGGGTTTTATTAAAGAGAGAGTTTATACCACTACTGTGGACACAAGGGATGAACTTATTCGTCGGATTCGGAACGCATGCAGTGAAATCAGAGACAATAACTTAATTCAAATGAGACGTTCTATTCAGCGTCGGTGTCAGTTATGTATCGAAGAAAATGGTTTACATTTCGAACATTTGCTTTGATGTAATATGGTTTTCGTTATTTATTTTTGTATTTATTTTCATTTAATTAATTAAAAACAATTTTAACCGAATTTTTGAACTACATATTTAATTTAGTTGTAACACAATGTTTAAAAATTATTATTTGACTTCTAAACAGTATTTTCGGTTTTTCTTGAAAACGCCACCTCCTATCGACTTTGGACAAGAGGGCCTTTTCTGGGTAAAATTGAATGCTCTTTCATATTTTTCGAAAACATTTGCAAAATATCAAATCGGCTATACTTTTTTTTATAAAAATATGCATAGAGACCCCTCTATCTCCACCACTGGAACTAATATGCGATGATTTTCTGTGTCAAATTATTTGCCCTCAAATACTAAGTCTTTCGCCGCAACATGATGATTTTTTTTGTCAGCGGTTATTTAGTTAAAAAATAAATAAATAAAACAAAAATAAAATTGAACGCCCTGTATCTCAGAAACGAAGCGTTTTAGGACCCATATATATAGGAACTTTTAGACTCAAAATGAGGTCTTCTACTGATTCCGGAAGTCCTGCTATTTAAATGTGAGACACCCTGTATATATATATATTATTTAAACAGAGTATATTAAAAAAAATAGTTGTACTTACCAAAAGTGCGACAGTACAGAGAACTGCAAAAGCAAACTTCATATTTGAAGTAGTTGAAACTACTTTTTACTCTGCAATAAACATAGACACACAGTGGTACGTTTCTCAAAAGTCACAGCTTTTAAATAATTCTGCAAAACGTGGAAAAAAATCCTGACAATTTCAGACTTCCTCAATTTCAGTGGTATACTAAACAATAATAATTAAGTGATGTCACCTACCTCATACAACTACTAGATAATTATAACATTTATATATTTGAATTGGCTGCCAAAAGTATTTTTTTATATTATTACGATTAAGGAAGCGTGAAAAAATTTACTACAAAAATCGTAATTTAGCGGAAGTATTATTTTCGGTTGGCTTCAGTTTTGACGGCTGGACAAAGGTTCGTATTTCCATCACACTAATACACCATAAATGAAATACGCTTTGCATAATAAACAGTAACAGTTTATTTTGTCACGATTGATATAGAAAAAGAAATAAAGATGAGAAATAAAAAAATCAAATAGAAAATCCCACTAAAAGTTCAATAAAAGGCGAACTAAACTAAACGTACCTGTTTTTGTTAACTAGGTAATACTATTGTCCTCCTTCCTCCATTATAACAGAAAAAAAATATAACTTAAAAAAAACACTAGTTGGTTTATGAGTAATTGAAAAGCTTATTTATTATTATTTTCCCAGCGAAATGTTCATTTAAGCGGAGAAAAATTGATAACTTTTTAAATGAGTTTGATTGATGCACAATTTTTATTTTTGGAATAATCTGGAAAAACTATGGCACATAAGTCTAATTTTTTATTTTTTTTGCAATTTCCAACCACAGTATAGAAAGTAAAAACTGCATAAAGTAGGAAAAAATAAACTTAGCAGGGTTTTCGACAGTTCCAAATACATTAGTACATTTAGATGTATTATTTTGTGTTTTTTGTTGTTAGATTTCGTATCAGTCTAATTCAAATGATTTCAAAATTTTTTCTAAAAATGCTATTAAGTGAAGTCAAATAATGTTCTTCAATTTTTGGTATTAAAAAACATTGTTTGCTTTCATTTAATAGTATTTTTAAAATTGTTTTTTTAATTCATTTGAATTAGTCCAATATTCATTTACAAAATGTTTAAATTGCATAGAATTTTTTGGGCGTCATAAAATAATAAGTACTTTTAAATCATAGGAATTTATTGATTTTATTTACTACTGTAACATATTAAAAATAAAATCTTATTTTCCACCACTTCCCATTCCGCTCAAGCCTCCAGTTCCGCTTCCGCTCATACCAGCATTAAAGCCAAAACTCAATTGTCCTCCTGCAGAACCTCCTGCTTCCCCTCCAGCTTGTCCCCCAGCTTGGCCTTGTGCTTGTCCACTGCCCTGAGCTTGTCCTTGAACAAGCGACTTATTGTCAGCCTGAAAATGTTTCATATTAAAAATAAAAATCTCACTTTCACTAATATAAAATAAGAACACCAATTTAGTCAAATTTTAAATTGACTGACTATTTTTCCTAACACAAAAAAATGTAACTATATTTATTAGATAAATAATTTTTATAAAAATTATTAACATTTAATAGGTTTCACTTTTCTTAGTGTAATTTTATACATACCAGAAAAGCTACAATGCACAAAACTGCCAAGACGAATTTCATTTTGTATCAGAGATGTCTGTACTAACACTGATGCTTTTTTCGAAAAATCTGCACGTTTATATACCCTAGTCTAGGTGCAAAAAATCAATCATTCTTTACTTCCGTGATTGTTGCAAATTAAATATAATGTATATAAAATGATATAGGTTTACCACATAATTATTATTTTTTGTACAATGTACAAATTTGCTATTAAATAAACATCACTGATATTTTTTATAGCATTAAAAGTTACGTTAATAAGGACGATATTACGATTCTGCTTCGATGTCTAAATATTTAAAAATATTTTTTGGCATACCAAAGTTATTCTAGTAACCGTTGAAGCACCATGTAAAAAATTAATGATAAGTTAAATTGTTGCTTATTGGAAAAATATTTTTGACTCAAAATGTATTGCCAGTAATATGACATATTCTTTTGTTGTGTGTAAAATTATTAAAAAAAACAAATTTCTTTAATTGTTTAATTACATACAAAATTGTAATTCGCCTTGAATTGTACATCAAATCTTTTTATTTTTCACTTAGACGATATAGCTTGTTTATTACTAGGAAACGGAATAGGAAAACAATGTCATCACTCTAGGGCCAAATAAACGAACCTATTATTACCGCCCGACCCTATTTTGTACCTTTCTTTTCTGCAAGGGTAGGATAGTAATTGTGCCTTGTATAAATGAAGCAGACAAATGAAAGTACAGAGTTTAGTAACATATATAACAATAATTTGCTTTAAATTAATAACAAAAATCATTTATAACCGTCTTTAAAAACGAAAGTATATGTTAGAAAAAACCGCCGTTCTTTAATTTCTTTTGATCGCAAAGATATCGATACAATTGGAGAGCGTGCATTTCATTTTCTTCCATCTTGGTACTTCAGTTTTTGTGCCGTTAATTTTTACCACAACAACGACTCCTTTGTCATCTATATCATCTATCGAGAGCTTTACCAACTCACCTCTTCTTATTCCTCCAAAGACACCTATTATTAGAACAACCTACAATAACAAAAACCTATTAAGCACATGCAATAATATAGCCAATTATTTTCTATATATGTATTACCTTTTCCAAAAGATATGTATGACTTTATGCTTTTCTAATAAATTTCAAAATATCCTTTCTTGTCAATATCTTAGATTTTTTTGGAATATATCCTTTCGATATTTGCTTCAAATAAGCCTCTAATCGATGATATTCTCTTATAATTACTTTTCTGCGCACTAATAATGTGATCGAAATCTTGTAAAAATATAATATTACAATCATATCAAATTAGGAGATAATTAAATTTGTACCTCAAGCTGCTTGTTTGGGATTAACCAATTTAAATTTAAATTTCTATTAAACGATATTTGTGCATACGTACAAGCCAAAATATCAAAATCTTAATGGTGTGGATGATCGGCTATAGCTTTTTTTCTTTCACTTGTCTTATTTATTATTTTGCGAGGAATCCATTGACGTACTTACTATTTTACTAACTCTAACGGTATTTGACTTCTAGATCAAAATTACATTTTGTTTACATGGAAATCATGATTGTCAGGATTAGTTAAAAATAAGGTATTTTGTGTTTACCAAAAATATATAGTTTATCATATTTAACTCGGAACAGAAAAAAATACTTTACCGGTTGCATGAATTTGTTTTTCTCCATATCTGCCAGTATATAAAAAAGCGGCATTCTGTTTAGTAGTGTATTTGGTTTTAGTTGTGACCAACTTTATCTTTCTTATGCTTTAGCCGTAACAAATGTGACAGTTTTTATATTTTTGTCTCTATAGTCTAATTCAAATGGTTTTTCTAAAAATACTACCAAGTCAAACAATGTTCCTCGATTTTTGACATGAAAAAAAAACATTGTTTGACTTTATTTGATAGCATTTTAGATTTTTTTTTTAATTTAAGTGTCACCTTGTTTAACACTAAAAATATTAAAAAGTTATGTAGCGAAAGTGAATTTCCATGAAATAGCTTTCTCCCTTAATAACTAATATAAAATAATAAGTAACGAGCGTTCAAATAAAAACGTGGTCGAAGTTGGCTTTGACACATTGGACGTAGGGAGTAGCTTATAGCGACCAACTTAACCTCATTTCTCAACGAGCTGTATAGCAGCTGTCAGTTTCAATAACGTTAATGACTATATAACTTTATTTTAAAGAATAATCGTGATAACAATAACAAACAATTAAAGGAGCTACGGAAAGTGTCCCCCTCCTTGTTATAACAATAAATTAAAGCAGCTGCTGAAAGTGTCCCCCTCCCTCCTTGTTCCAAGCACTTTTCACACCTGTTCCTCAAAGAATTAAAGCCATTTTCTAAGATGCTCGGGGTATTGTTAATTAATAATGCAGTTCAAAAATAGTGTTTTTAAGGTAAGGCCACAAAAAGAAATCACACGGCGTAATATCACATGACCTCGGTGGAAATTCATGTTCAGCATTGAGACTTATTAGTCGATTTTGGAAAATACGCTTTGCATAATAAACAGTAACAGTTTATTTTGTCACGATTGATATAGAAAAAGAAATAAAGATGAGAAATAAAAAAATCAAATAGAAAATCCCACTAAAAGTTCAATAAAAGGCGAACTAAACTAAACGTACCTGTTTTTGTTAACTAGGTAATACTATTGTCCTCCTTCCTCCATTATAACAGAAAAAAAATATAACTTAAAAAAAACACTAGTTGGTTTATGAGTAATTGAAAAGCTTATTTATTATTATTTTCCCAGCGAAATGTTCATTTAAGCGGAGAAAAATTGATAACTTTTTAAATGAGTTTGATTGATGCACAATTTTTATTTTTGGAATAATCTGGAAAAACTATGGCACATAAGTCTAATTTTTTATTTTTTTTGCAATTTCCAACCACAGTATAGAAAGTAAAAACTGCATAAAGTAGGAAAAAATAAACTTAGCAGGGTTTTCGACAGTTCCAAATACATTAGTACATTTAGATGTATTATTTTGTGTTTTTTGTTGTTAGATTTCGTATCAGTCTAATTCAAATGATTTCAAAATTTTTTCTAAAAATGCTATTAAGTGAAGTCAAATAATGTTCTTCAATTTTTGGTATTAAAAAACATTGTTTGCTTTCATTTAATAGTATTTTTAAAATTGTTTTTTTAATTCATTTGAATTAGTCCAATATTCATTTACAAAATGTTTAAATTGCATAGAATTTTTTGGGCGTCATAAAATAATAAGTACTTTTAAATCATAGGAATTTATTGATATTATTTATTATTGAAACATATTAAAAATAAAATCTTATTTTCCACCACTTCCCATTCCGCTCAAGCCTCCACTTCCGCTCCCGCTCATACCGGCATTAAAGCCAAAACTCAGTTGTCCTCCTGCAGAACCACCAACTTCAGCTCCACCTTGTCCACTAGCTTGCCCTTGTGCTTGAGCGCTGCCCTGAGCTTGTCCTTGAGCAAGCGACATATTGTCAGCCTGAAAATGTTTCATATTAAAAATCTCACTTTCACTAGTATCAAATAACCATCACCGATTTAGTCAAATTTTAATTTAACTGATTATATTTCCTAAAACAAAAAAAATTAACGATATTTATTAGATAAATAATTTTTATAAAAATTATTAATATTTAATAGGTTTCACTTTTCTCAGTGTAATTTTATACATACCAGAAAAGCTACAACGCACAGGACTGCAAAGACGAATTTCATTTTGTATCAGAAGTGTCTGTACTAACACTGATGCTTTTTTCAAAAAATATCCGCGTTTATATACACTAGTCCAGCCGCAAAAAATCAATCATTTTTTATTTCCGTAATTCTGTTGCAAATTAAATATAATGTACACAAAATGATATAGGTTTATCACATTATTACTTTATTTTTTGTAAAATGTACAAATTTGCTATTAAATATAGCTACATAACTGACATTTTTTATAATATTAAATGATACATTACAAGAACGATATCAGATATTTGCTTCGATATCTAAGTATTTAAAAATATTTTTTGGTATACCTAATATCGATATAATTAATACTATAAGCAGTATACAGTGTAGGAAAGTACCGATGATCTATCAGAAGTTACGTGAGAGCGATAAAGTAAGCCATAGAAGTCCATGTGATAGACAAGGATGGCTATAATGAAGGCGTCTAATAGTCAACGCCCATTTAGATATAGAGTTTTAATAAAAAAGTTATAACAATTTCATAAAGCGAACGTGATTTTTTATCTTCGTGTAAAACAAAATTTCGGAAGCAGTTTTTCATTATTTTAAGTAGAAAAAAATTGTTTGTGTTAAATCATAAAAATTAACGATTAAATAATTGAAATTGTTATAACTTTTTTATTTAAAATTAAAAAACATATCTATTTCTCTGAGAAGAAAGTTTACATTTTTAGAGTAGAATGGAAAAAAAACTATAAAATTCATTCATTTTTCTGCTTGTTATGATTTTTTAAATTTCTGAAATCATCCCTTAACTTCAACCTAACTCTGTTATTTTAATAGTACAAGAAAAAGTTAATAAACCATTTTTATGTAGAATTTTATGCTCTACAACTTTTATAAAAACTTTTTTCTAGCTCTTACCCCTGTTGAGTTTTCTTGAAAAAAACCTTTATTTTTATCTTTTTTTACCCCTGGCTGGGGTAAGAAAGAAAATTACTGTCACTTATTGTTATCATATAACTCAAACTAACTTATACCAAAAATTCAGGCAAGATGACCAAAACTGCGATTTAAAGGCCAATTTTCCGTTTCGATTAAAATATTAAGAAATTCGAATCTCTTTTGTTGTTTAATTAAATGCAAAATTATAATTCCTCCCAGAGAAAAATAAACTTCAGTTATTAATAAAATAATATATTTTCCAATATGGTATGAAAATGCTGAAGAAATATTTCATCTTGAACATTTTACTACTCATTTACGCGAAAGTAACGATTTTTTTACGGCCGATACAAATGTCACGGTTAATGTATTTTTTCTATTTTAGTCTCCATAATTGAAAACGAAAATATCTAATATGATTTTCTCAATTATGTAATAAAATACACCTTCTTATCAATGAACTTAATTTAATGGAACATTTTTCGTTCGCAATTAAAAATATAGGGATTAAAATAAAATGTCACAATGTGTGATAAACAATAAAGAGAGTTTGCCAATGCAAATACAAATTCAGAATATCCCTAACTATCATCTTTCACTGCTAAATATGGTATATTCTACTCATAAAGGTTCTTCATGATGAAAGACTTTGTTTTCGAAATTGTGAATCAGCAGTAATTGGGAAATTTTTAACTTCACTCATTTGCAATAATTCCTGGATTTTTAAATTGAAATAGGAACTTAATTTTTTAAGGCTGCATTTGAAATATTCTGCATTATAAATTTTTGAAATTTGAGATTTTAAGACGTTTCTGTTCTTATCTTATCGGTGGGAACCCTGAATATCGGGACGCTTTGGCATAACTATGCCCTGTCAATCGTTATCTAATTGACTGATTTTTATTGTGTAAATAATTTTGAGACTAAACTTACAAACAACCATATACCTTCCTCTTGTGACTCCGCATAGCAATACGGGACGGATTAGTCAATCTCATTAAATCTATCCTTATAGCTTGGATAATCCGCCAAAAAACCAGCTATTTGACCTATTATTATTCTCCTGAAAACATTCTAACAACTTTAAATATCTTGGAATCCCTACGTGCTCTTTCGAATGCATTTCGCGCGTTATTAGAAATATCGATTTTTCTCTTTATACCGGATGCTCAACACATGGCCCCGACGGTCTAAGTGAATTTTTTTTGCGCTATGTTTCATAAACCTATAACGTCATCGACATTTTTTTTAAATAGCACTACCTTATTTTTTATGCATAAATGGATAGCCCATTTGAAGGGAAATGCGTCGATATAGGGTTTGGCCTACTTTACTTTGACAGGTGCGAAAAAAAGCCAACCATTGGAATAAACATGGTTTAAATTAATAACAAAAGTAGGTATCACAAACTTATGCGCGAACAGTGCTATAGCAAAAAATGTGTTTTGGTTGATTGTAGGTACATGTTTTTATGTAGATTGGGTAGATACACCCGATCACAGTGGCTATGTCGGCATTGTTCTGAAGACGACAGTTAGCGAATGCAATAGTGCCTCATATCATTGTGACAGTTACAAATACCATAACTTTACATTACGATGGTGTTGTGTTTAAATGAGAAACAAGAACTGAAATCCTAATTATTGTTGGATACGGAGATAGGATCCGTAGTTATGGTGAAGTATGTCAATTATTCAATGCCAAGTATCCAGAACAACCAATACCTCCGTCCACAGTATGCAGATTAGTACGCAAAATTTGAAGACGCTGGCCATGTTAGAAATCTGGAAGGCCAACTACAGTGACAGAAAATGATAGGCAAAATGTTATGTTTAGCTGTCACTGAAAATTCACACACTGCCGTTCGTCGTATCGCCGAAAACGCCAACATATCAATACATAAAAACGTACCTACAATCAACCAAAACACAAAACATCCGCAAATTTCTATTTCTTGCTGTGGCACTGTTCTCGCATCAGTTTATGATACCTACTTTTGTTGCTATTTTAAACCATGTCCATTCCAGTCATTGGCATTTTTTCGCTCTTGTCAAAGTAAAGTACGTCAAACCCAATATCGACGTATTTCCCTTCAAAAGGACTATCCATTTATGCTTAAAAAATTCTGTCAGGTCAGGTAAATTCTGTAAAAGATCTGGCTGTATTACTAGTTTTTAAAATAACCTCTATCTTTCTTCATGGCACCTACAGAAGAGAACAATGAATGAGAGGCTTTAGTATTTTGCTATTATTGTTTTATTAAATCATAATTTATAATTCTCTTGCGAGTTAAGTTATTAGCGACCTGCTCCGCAGCCCCCCCTGCCACTTGTTCCACCGAAAGCCCCTCCAGAAAACCCAAATACTCCACTACTACTGCTGTTGGCAGCGCCATTCGCAACTGCACTTCCAGAAGCGTTAAAGCCGAATCCCACTTGGTTTTGACCTCCGTACTGACCGAATCCTCCTGATCTATGAGCACGTGATTCAGTTTCACCCTGAAAAAAAATATGAATGTATCATAAACAAAAAAATCGCAAATGATTTGTTACATTGTTCTGAAAAAAAAGTTCTTGCCAACAGCGTATTTTTTTGCATTAGATTGTGGGTACACATGTCTGCAAGTGACCTTACCTTAAGAGCGTCAGCCTGACACCGGGTCGGTCTAACAGTTGCAAACGACAAAGAACAGACGAATATCTGCACGCGGGATATACACACCATGGTTCCCGGAAGACCACGGTAGATTGGCGCGTCAGGAACTAGATACATATACCTATATGAGTAACTAAATAAGAGGGTTTTATTCTGTATATTCTGTTGGCAGCAGCGGCAGAGTACGCTATCTGCAGTTATTGTGGCAAACGACACACTCGGAAACCACAGTCCATAAAATAATTAAGGAAACTGCAGGGGAAAACACAATTAGAGTAACTTCTAATTCTACTGTCTAAGAGATGTCGCTGCACCATAATGGCGGCAAATTTAAAATAATAATGAATGAAAATGAAATGAATAATAATGATGATTTACTAATGAATAAAAAGTATTTCGTAAGTAATACATCGCAAAACAGCTGTTAATGGTTTGTTGATAATTAAAATTAAGCTGAACCATTGACAGCGGTTTCATGATCCACTACTTATGAAACACTTTATATCAAAAAAATGTACATGGAGACTCTTGTTATTATTTTTTTAAAGAATCCGTTAATAACTGCAAAGTTCAAAGAAATTTTACTAAAGAATTATTTACCTGCCTTTATGTAAAATAATATTGCAGTTACTTGCCAAAAATTATTTGGAATTCGAAATAATGGTCATGTATCTTTCGTAGTAAACTTTGGAAGCGTCTAGATTTATCAGTTTCATAACACTACTATGTGGCTGAATTTTGCTGTTTTATTCTGCGAAAATTTAATATTATTGTTATATAAAGCATTTCTTGTATTTTTAAGCAAATGAGGAACGTCAAAAATGGGAATAATTTCCTCACCATTAACATTAAAAGTGGACTTATCTGATGACTCGGAAACTAACTGTCTGATAGCTGATCTGTTAGTGGAACCTTGATCACAAACTGTACAAATTATTTTTAATCCACAACACTGCAATGCTGAAATTATTTCAGTTAACAAAATTTGTAGGTCCTTTGTTTTTATAACATCTTTTGTGAAATAATTCACGATAGGTTGCTTCCAATGTTTACTAATATCTTGTACCAAAAACACTAGAGCATGATTTGCTGCATCATTTTGTCTGCCCAGGGACCCAAAATCGACATATCCCGTTACTTGATCTTTACAAGTGTCATAATTTAAACCAACAGACAGAGCTATTTCATCAAATACTAAACAACAAACTTTATCTCTTGTAATCATTTTACTAACACGTTCTGATAATTTCCGTAACAACTTTTAATTTATTCCAACATCTAAAGGTATTTGGCCTAAATAAATAAAAATGTATGTAAAAACCTGCAGCCCACGTATGTAAATTGCTAAAGTAAGTGTTTTATTTTCTGAATTATAGATAGGTCATTTCTTTTCGCAATTTTTAATTTGTAACTCAATAAATTTTACTCGTACTAAGTAGATCAAGATGTTGACTTAATTTTGTAAGTAAATTAGAATAGGTAATATTACGAACATGAGACAAATTATTTTTACATTTTAATAGTTTCCTTTTTAATTTCAAAATCTGAATTTTCTGTTGACGATCTAGATAATACATTTTTTATGTTTATCTGAAAGTTGAGATATTCTCTTAACATTCAAAATTTTTTAAAATATTCTTTGTTTATTATTTGACTGAAAATATGTGAGGCTTTGACAAAATGAGCTATTAAGTGAGGTTGACCAGTATTTGATTCCGCTTGATTCAACTTGCTACCAGTAATCTCAGTAATGGCACTGGTGCTCCCAGTACCCTTATAGGAAATGACAATTTTGAATACGTGTATTTCGGTTTTTTAAAAGGTGGAGGCGAAAAATCATCCGAAATGGAAGTTTGGCAGCTCATACTATGAAAATTCTGTAATGTTACGTTAACAAATTGTTTTGTTGAATATTCTATACTATCTGAGGTAATATTATTACAATTAATAGGTGAAGTTGTAGTCAATCCTAAAAATAATGTCGGCACAGCACTTCTGTTGATCTGAAGTCTGATTTACATAATTTTCGAACTGAGTCTGTCCCCAGTAATTGTCTGTCTTTTGAAATTCTGAAAAAACTTTTATTTCTACAGGACGCATTATACAATTTACACACTTTCATATAGTAAGTGCTTTTGCAATTTGGAGCACAACATTGACGTTTAGTTCTACCTGGTAAACTCATTTTGGATAAAAAAACCGAATAAAAATACAGTAAGGCAGTTCAGATAATTGATTCAATAAATCCCGTATTACATTAATCTAAAACAAAACAAATTTATTAATGCACAAAACGTGACAACCTACCTGAATATAAACTATAACCTCGAACATTCTATTTCTGTTGATTGAAAGATTGGAAATACAGAGTTGATCTGTGGTTGCAGATTTATGTTTAACAATTTCTATAAATGACAATGTTTTGCCACAACAATGCGAGATGTCCTAAGTGAATGCATGTTCGGTCCGCCCTATCCAATAAAAGCCTCTTATTTAGTTACTCATATGCATATACCTGCGAGCGACTCCACAAAAAAGACTCTCCAACGAACGCTCGCCCCGACAACATTTTTTCTCACTAAACTTTGTTTTCAATAAAAATACGTTTATTTTACCGTTGAGAGAGAGCAACCCTCAAGTTTATGAACAGGAATTTTACTCACCAGAACGACGAAGATGAAAGCAACCGCAAAAGTAATTTTCATGTTGAACTTGTTAAGTATATCTGCAGAACATCTCGCGAAATGCAACCTTTATATAATCCCACCATTGCCAAAAAAGTTGTTTTTTAAATTTGGGCAATTGCGTACTTCCTTGGTTTTGTGCAAAGCGCGTATATTTTAACAAATTATACAATTAACTATAATTTCACACATTTGCTATTTAATAATGTTTGTGTACAAAAGTGCATTACCCAATGACCACTCTTCGTAGAAGGCATTGGAGGCTGAGCCTCCTCAAAATATTTAAAGAATTAATTTAATTTTCTTCATAATTGCTATTCCGCAATTAGTAATTATTTATTCTTATTTCATAGCTACAATATGAATCACTTTTAGAGATTGTAAATAAAAATAGCTTTTTAATTTTCACCTTTGAGGGCCCGTAACTTGTTAACGAAGACCCGTATGAAAAGAATTTATATGAAGAACTGATATTATTTTGACCTCATCTATTTGTACTCGACTTTTTTGTATCAAGTACCGGTACACCCTGTATATAATCGCACAAACTTTTTTGCTATTTGTCTTAAGTCGTGAAGCACAATTATTATCTGTAATATTTCTCTTTTTATCTATTATGTACATTCTATTTTTTAATGTTTTGTTAATATTTTTGGGATTGCAATTTTTTTCAAAAGTCTGATTTGTCATTTGTCAAAGTCACATCATCATCATCTGCGCATTAAGTTTTTATAGTTTTCCACAGTCTTTGGCTTTAAGGAGGTTCGATACCAAAAAAAAAATGGTAAGAATGTTTTCAAAGCAATTGAAATCTGTTAATAAATATGCAAACTGACTTGTGTAAAAATATCAGATCGATTGACAACGCAGTTTTTTTGAAAAATGAATTTAAAAATTATGCTCTTTTACACGGGCTCTTATGGAAGTTGGGAAAAAACTTTAATCAAACGTGAATATTGCTCTTAAAAATGGTTAGGATCGGGAAAATAAAATTGTAATTAAAGAATTAAATATTACTAAACATTTTAAAACAATAAAAATATGCACTTACAATGTAATTATTGAGATAATGGAATGAATAGATAACGTTTTGACAAATTTGAACAAACATCTGATCCAATGAAAGGAAATATGGCAACACTGTACGCTGTATTTAATGCTTCGACTGATGCGTTATATTTGAATAGCTCAATTATAGATTATAAAATTATTCCAGTCGAAAATATATGTAGTAATAATTAATATTAAATAAATTTTTCGTGATCTAAAGCAATATACTAGCAATTTGAAACAAAAATTGAAAGGATCTCTTTGCAAAACGAACAGTTTAGTTGTTATGTCATAATCTTCAATTTGACAAGTCGACGTCTCACTATCATACATTGAACTTCTTGATAGTTATCATATGGATTCTCGGTTTGCACATTTTATTTTTTTCTCATCAATCCACATTCTGTTTTACACTCATTTTATACTTTTCAGTCATTACTTTTCCTTTGTACCTTGGTTGTTCATTCATGTTTACGGAATTCGCGCAAAGTTGACAGTAATGACAGTTGACCCAACTTTTACCACCACGCCATGGCAATGTTGCCAGATTTCATCCATAATTTTACAAGTTCGTAATGAATAAATAGACGCTTTTATTCAAACAAAAAGTGAACTGACGTGTATTAAACACGAAAAAAATATGCAAGCTAATATGTGTTGTATAAATTTCATTCTAAATAGCATACTTAGTTCGCTGAAATTAATTTATGTAAGGTTGGTACTGCAACAAGACTCCCGTGTATAAACACAGGCATACTCTCCGCACCGCCCGCCCCGTAAGAGGAGTATCGAACGTCCTTAAATTAATGCTAGAATAAGAGTCACATATACAGTGACCATATTTCATTGGAATATAAAGGGTGGTCCCGAGGTAATGGGCCAAAATTCATGGGTAGATTCCCGAAGCAAAAATATTGAGATTTAGCCGAACTTACCCTAGTCCAAAAGTTGATAGTTAAAGAGATACAGGGTGTTAAATGTAAAATATTATTTCAGTTTTCTTTTTAATTCCTTAACAAATGCAAATATCCTCACAAAATTTTGGGGATTGGAGTTCTTTGAGCAGAGGAATTGAAATCTGTTCACGTTTTGGTTAAAGGTCATAGAGGGCGCTAGCTGCAGTAGATTGAATGTGTTAAAAACGACATAACTTTTTTGTACTTTAAGGTATCTGATCTTTGGTAACAAATTCTTATTTTTCAACTTTTTTTACACAAAAAAGGTATACTTTATTAAAGTAGCTTTCTCGCACCGTTTTCGAGATATTTTGCTTTGAAACTTCCAATGCTGTTGCATTAAATTACAATTAAGTACCTACAGGTATTATTAATTTAGCGATAAAGTTTCTTAAGTAGGATTTGGACGAAAATCAAATAATTGACGTCTTCCACTTGTCTTATTGCTGTCATTTGTATGCTAATTTCTATTAAGTATTATTCGTATCTAATTAAAATTACATCTTACCTTACAAATTAAATTGTATACTCGTATACATAATTGTGAGATAGAATGCCGAGGTTTTCGTTTTTGGAGTTTGAGAAGAACTTTAATAGTAGGTTTTAAATGCTGCAGTCATTTCGCATTAAGGATTTATACTTTAAAATAAGACAATCTTTTAATAAACGTGTTGATAAATGTATTGAAATTAGAGGTGGACATTTTGAGCAATTATTGTCAAGAAGGCATATTTTTTACTAATGTTTACTATTTTACTGTGCATTACAATTTTTAATTCTAAATAAACCCTTGTTTTTGACATTTCTAAATTATTTTAATTATTTCAACTATTAGCATTGGAAGTTTCAAAGCCAAATATCTCGGAAACGGTGCTAGACAGATACTTTCATAAAATCTACCTTTTTTGTATAAAAAAAAGTTGGAAAATAAAAATTTGATACCAAAGATGAAATACCTTTAAGTACAAAAAAGTTATGTCGTTTCCAACACCTTCAATCTACGGTAGCTGGCGCCCTCTATGAACTATAACCAAAATGTGAACAAACTTCAATTCCTCTATCCAAAGAACCCCAAACAACAAAAATTTGTGAGGATATTTGCATTTGTTAAGGAATAAATGGAAATAAACTAAAATAAAATTTTACATTTAACACCTTGTATCTCTTTAACTATCAACTTTTGGACTAAGGTAAGTTCGGCTAAATCTCAATATTTTTGCTTCGGGAATCTACCCATGAATTTTGGCCCATTACCTCGGGACCACCCTGTATTGATAGGTAAATAAAACGTAACGTAACAGAGCCGTAAGTACAAAAATCTATTATCAGATACTCGTATAACGTACATTACGTTAAATGAAACAAATATTATTTTTGCTGGTGCTTCTTTATTGTCACATTTGTATAATTATATCAAATTAAAATCATATTTATTTTCCTCCCATTCCTCCCATGCTTCCTCCCATGTTTCCCGTAGCATCAATTCCTCCGCTTCCTCCCATTTGTCCTCCTCCGGATCCTTCCATTTGTCCTCCACCTTGACCTTGCCCTTGAGCGAATACTTTATTTTCAGCCTGAAAAAAAAAAATACATTCAGTTTTTATCAAAGTTGAAAACTTGTAATGTTACTATTATAAAAAATACTGCAATTTCATCTATACAGAGTGAACAAAATTCTTTTATGTTCAACATTCATTTCAAAAAAAATGTCCACTTCAAATCAAATCATTTATTGGTGTCTATACATTAAAATGTTTACACAAGTCAAAGAAAGAAAAACACGAAAGATATAAGCAATACTACACTAAAGCTAAAAAACACATTCAGATAAATATAACGTAAACAGCATAAAAATGTAAATATTACGAATATACATTATATATCTAAAAACTGGTCCGCAAGGAACTCATCAAAATTGTAAAACGCTTTTCTCTAAAGATATTTTCTAATTCTGGTCTTAAAACAGTCTGAATTTAATGATCGAATCTCAGTGGAAGTCTATTAAAGAATTTAATGCAAAAATAATTTGTGCCATCTCTGGATTTCGCTAATCTATGAAATTTTGGCCTAATATTGTGTCGCTCTCTTGTATGATGAAAATGAAAATTTTATGGTCGAACAAATCTATTCTGATTATTTTTTATATAAATGAGACATTCAAATATGTAAACTGACGGCATTGTAAGAATATTTAGCAGTTTGAAGTGCTCCCGACAATCATCTCTGTATTTTATTCCAGCCATAATTCTAATACATTTACGGTGTAAACTACAAATTTTATCACTGTGAGACGAATGACCCCAGTTCAAAATTTCATTTCATAGGTCATGGTGGCATGAAAAGTACCATAATATGCAGATATGAGTACAGGCTTAGATACTACACGATCTAAATTACGCAGTAGGAAAATATTCTTAGTCCTTTATGAGAGGCAGCGTATCCACTGAATCCTCTGTGAGTTTAATTAAGTTATTATTTGACTTTAAAGCAGTAGTATCATCGGCAAATAAAATAAAATCAGTAGTTATATCACAATTTGGGAAATCATTGATATAGATAAGAAATAGAATAGGGCCCAATACTGAGCCTTGGGGAACTTCATGAACTATTGTTGTTAGGTGTGAAGAACAAGAATTATAAAAAACATACTGAGTTCTGGTCGATAGATAAGACTCAATAGGGGACACGCTATTGTCATCAAAATTATAAAATTTTAGTTTATTTAAGAGAATTCTGTGGGATACAGTCAAATGCCTTAGTCAAATCGTAAAAATTTACACTGACAACATTGATTGATTCGAAATTGTTTAAAATAATTCTAGTCAACTGGTTCGTAGAATTTTCAACGATTTGTATAAAAATATTCTTTTTAATCAGGATTACTTACCATTACAGCAAAGATGAACAAAACGGCGAAAACAAATTTCATTTTGAAGTATCTAAGCTTGTATGTAGTAGTGTAGTGTAGTGTAGTTGATTGTGTACTAATTATTACTTCGAATACTTTGGGTTTATATACCTACTGAGTTCATCGAAAAAAATAACGCAACAAATTTTGTACAGCGGCTGCTTTAATGCATTCTAAATTATTGCAATTTTCAAATAATTACATGCATGTGATATATAATTCTAATAATCAATTTATTTAATATATACAATATTTATTTAATGTCACAAACTTAATGCAACATACAAACCAGACCAAGGCAATATACGTACCTCAAGATTTCGAACTATTGTGTTTAGTGTGTGTGAATCTATAATTACAATGGCACAAAAAAAGAATTTATGACATTAATATGACTTTTTTTCCATTTTTAGTTATATTTTTGCGTTTATGTGCAAAATCCCTGGGGGGATACAGCTAATAAACTTCAGGTTGATTCAACAACTCACTCGATCAAGATCAGAACAAATTTTTTCATTTAAGATATTTGAACTATGCAAAATGTAGTCATGTGGAATCATACTGTGCAATCAGGACCTTAATACAAAAAAATATGCCCGAAAAAACGAATCTTTTTAGAAAAAAAAAACACCTTGTCTTTTTAATAAATTGTTACAGAAACACATTAGAAGCATTTTGGCGATATTCAATTTTCGCTTTGAGCGGGTATTAATATCGCTGGTACTTATATTTTTATCTAACCTCGTATATTTAATTGCATTGCATAGAATTTTTCCAAAATGATATGTCGTCGATAAAACCAAAATACTCATACACAATCAAAAGCAGAGGACCAACTGAGACTAGAAGTGATCACCTTTCTTCCGAAAGAGCTGTGGAAGCAGGAAGGTGATATGTTTCTCTGGCGTCCCTAGTATGCTAGACTGATGATACTGATATACCACCTACAGGAAAGTTTTTCACTGGGTTATATCATAGTCTTTCAGGCAGATGTTTTCGCTATTTTGACGGTGACAAGTAAAGAACTTTGTAGAGAAGAGGATTTTTATCTGATCCCACACTCGGGCAGCGCTTTGGGTAGTTAGCTTTCTGAGGACAAAGAGTGCGGGGATGCCCTGGAGTTACTGGCCAGACGAAGAGCGGTAGATATGGTTAGGGTTCTTGGCAACGAGAGAGCGGACCAACTGGCTCATCTTTGATCCAAGGGGTCTAGCCAGGGACCTGAACCAATCCTCCAAATCACATGAGGTAGCCTTAATGGGACTCTTAATAAATGGGCTTATCAAACATTTTCATGAACAGAGGATGTAGGTAGACCCATAGCCTTTATATAGGCCTAACAAATCTAAGACGAGACGGCTGCTGAGCCTTGGTCGAAGAGTCCTAAACCCTAAACCAAATGGTGGGGGTACTGACAGACTATTATAGACTTAGGAGGCCTTTAAGTTTAATAGGAATTGAGGAGGTCCTTTTGTACCCGAAATGTGATGAAGGGGAGGATATTCCTATTCATGTTCTGGGCCACTGCGCAGCCTTCGGGAGGTTAAGGCATAAAGTCTTTAGTAACGAATAGTTGCAAGGGGATGATGTGAGGGACCTGTCAAAATTCTGGAGTTCATCAATGGCGTCAGGTAGGTTCGAAAAGGAACGGCCGAACGGCCGGGCCAAAAAGGGCCCACTCGTGGCCTGATTGTCAGGCTGAGGCCGCCCCAATCTACTACTACTACTACTAAGTACCAAAATCTATTTTATCAGATATAACCTACTTTTTTTAAATGAATCAAATATTGGCTTTTGTTAGTACTTCTTTATTGTCACATTTGTATTATGTTATGTCAAGTTAAAATTATCTTTATTTTCCTCCTATTCCTCCCGCACTTCCTCCCGCACTTCCACCCATGCTTCCACCCATGCTTCCTCCCATGCTTCCTCCCATGCTTCCTGTGGCATCCATTCCCCCGCTTCCTCCCATTTGTCCTCCACCGGATCCTCCCATTTGTCCTCCAGCCTGACCTTGTCCTTGAGCAAGTGCCTTATTTTCAGCCTGAAAAAAAAAGTACATTCAATTTTTATCAAAGTTGAAAACTTAAAATGTTACTATTATAAAAAATACTGCAACTTTATCTATACAGGGTGAACAAAATGCTTTTATGTTCAACAGGCATTCCAAAAAAAATGTACATTTCGTCGAATTTACTTCAGTGGTATGTATAAAAATATCCCTTTTAATCAGGATTACGTACCATTACAGCAACGACGAACAAAACGGCGAAAACAAATTTCATTTTGAAGTATCTAAGCTTGTATGTACTGTGTTGGTTGTGTACTGACTATTGCTTCGAATACTGTGAGTTTATATACTGAGTTCATCAGAGAAAAAATGCAACACATTTTGTATAGCTGCTGCTTTAATGCACTTAAATTATTGCAATTTTCGTATAATTACATCCTTGTGCCATATAATTCTAATAATCACTTTACCTAATGTAGGATATATGTGTTTAATGTCACAAGTCACAAACTTAATGCAACATAGGTACAAACCGAGATTTCAGTTTGGACCATGGCAATACGTACCTCAAGAATTCAACCTGTTGGGTTTGGTGTGTAAAGCGTGATCTATAATTATCTTTTCATTGTAATTTACTTCTTTCAGGTTAAGATATTTGATCGATGCAAAATGTAGTATAGCACCTAATTGATCATGTACCAAGAATACCTAATACGTAAAAGTATTTCTACTTTATGTATTTTAATTAATTTGTAAAAAAATACTTTGAAATACGAGAAATAAATTAGAAAGGTAATGTCGGTAAAATTGTCATATTTTGGTAATGAAGCATGAGACATACAGGGTGTCCGCAAATTTCACCGACAACGTTTGACTGCATATTCACGACGATAAATAAATACGATCTACTATAAAAAGTTAAATAAAAAATTTTTGGTTTTTCAGTTACAGGCCTTCAAAGTTGTCAAAAATAAAACTACTACAATTAATAACTTCATACCCCTTTTACCGATCGCGTTAAAATTTGGTACATTTATTTGGACTATTATTGCGTATTATTTCTTAAAGTTTTAGTCAAATCGATATACTGGGTGATAGATTTCTCCTGTTACCTCTCCCTCTTAGCGGTCAAAACTTTTACAGTGGTCGTATTTTTTTAAAACGGACAGCAACATTGAAAAGGTCGTTTTATTTAAAAAAAAATATTGTCTCTTGAAAAAATCGCCTACAGAAAGCCATTCTTGAGAAAAATTGCATTATTTGCAGGTCTGTACGTTTCGGTTTGTTGATTGTTGTGGCTATCAGGGAATGTCATTATTGTGTTTCTTTAGGATTCTCATCACTCCATATATATAATAATAATANAAAAATTGAAATCGGTTGATTAGGACGGAAACAGTAAATTTTTAAAGTTAACACTCTTTTTTTTATTTTTAAACAATTAGATTACATTTATCAATTTGCAATTTAGTTTTTTTCAAAAATTATAATTTTAAAGTACTTGGAAAGACGCTTCTTTAAAAAAAAAAGAAGTTTAATTCCGTTTATTGGTTCTCGAGATATAAGCGGTCAAAGTTTATCAGCATTTATCTATAATTTATAAACAATTTAGCAATAATCTTTGATCCAGTGGCTTCGTTTTTCCGAATTCTAAGCTGGAAAAAATTTTTCATATCCATAAGTTATCCGCGAAAAGTGACTCAAAATACGAAAAGTGGGGGAGTGTTTTTTTTGAAAAAAAAACTAAATGGCAAATTGATAAATGTAATCTAATTGTTTAAAAATTAAAAAAAAAGAGTGTTAACTTTAAAAATTTACTGTGGCCGTCCTAATCAACCGATTTCAATTTTTCAAAAACCATTTGAAAGGTTGAGCGGTATCTTCTCTGTGAAAAAATTGTCAAGTATCTAGATGCTTTATTTGAGGCTGTGCAAAATTTTGAAAATTTCTTTCAAAATTTTTTTCAGACTTATTTTGCGAACATTTAAAACATTTAAAAAAAAATATTCAAATACCTTGATTTTTTTGCCTTTTTTCATCAGTTATTTCGCCACATCGGGAATAAATTTAAACATTTTTAATTTACAGTATATTGTGGAAAATTCAATTCTAAAACTTTTTTCTTTACAATATTCTTCCAAAATGTATAGGTTCCAACATATAAGTAAAAAACTCAGATAAAATAGGTATATATTTATATTTTTTAAACACTTTTGTAATTTTGAATATGTTCCGGACCTGGCCCAAATCTAGGGTTCTACACTTTTATTATGTGAGTTGTACTGAAGTTATTCCAGCGAAAATTAGCTTGCCTCCTCTTACATCCAAGAAGTGGGATTTTTCGACAGATCCGCCTTGATCTATATTTATAAGGAACCTTTCTTTTTGAAATAGAGAGCACCTTCATGTATTGTTGTCAAATCTCATTTTTCTTGATTCGATTACATATTTTTTCATAAAAGTATGTACTTAGAAATTAAGAATGAAGACTATAAAATTAATCTTATTAAAACACAACACCGCACTGGACAAATTTTATTTCGATTTCAGTAAAAACTGTTTCCTAGGAAATAGTCACAGATTACCTACCGTACTACAAACACGTATTCATAAAATTGAAAACTAAAAGTACCTAACTATAATAAAATGTAGCATCACGTATTATATGTATAGTGCACCAAAACTAGGTCAATTTCCAAAGGTCATTGACACTGACGCACTTCCACCCATGCTTCCACCCATGCTTCCTCCCATGCTTCCTCCCATGCTTCCACCCATGCTCCCTCCCGCGCTTCCTCCCATGCTTCCCGTGGCATCCATTCCCCCGCTTCCTCCCATTTGTCCTCCGCCGGAACCTCCAAACTGGCCTTGTCCTTGCCCTTGAGCGAATGCCTTATTTCCAGCCTGAAAAAAAAATGCATTCAATTTTTATCAATGTTGCAAACTTGAAATGTTACTATTATAAAAAATTAATCTATAAAGGGTGAACAAATTGCTTTTATGTTTAAATCCAAAAAGAAAATGTACACTTCGTCGAATTTTCAGTGATTTGTGTAAAAATATTCTTTTTAATCAGGATTACTTACCATTACAGCAACGATGAGCAAAACGGCGAAAACAAATTTCATTTTGAAGTGCTTAAGTTTGAATGTACTGCGTTGATTGTGTACTGACTATTACTTCTAATACTTTGGGTTTATATACTGAATTCATTACAAAAAAAATGCAACAGCTTTTGTACAGCGGCTATTTTAATGCACTTAAATTATTGCAATTTTCAAGTAATTATACTCATTTGTTACATAAGTCTAACCTGACGTAACATTTATTTAATAACACAATTTTTTTTAAATAATAATAATAAATCGTCTTTATTAGAAGCAGATAATGTATATATAAAAATAAAGAAATAAAGGGAAAAATTCATGGCGAAGTCTAGCAAAAGCTATTCACACTCAACTATAAATGTATGCGATAGCATGTAATTTCAAATTACATAAAAAACAACAGACAGTCGCTCAGAAAAGAATCACACAATTAAAATAAAATACAATTACCTAACAATAATCAACAGTTTAAAATAAAAATTCTCAACTATAAACTATAAAATCAGCTGTCCACTCAATAGATATGATTTAAATTTATACTTGAATTTGTTAATATAAAAAATTTTAAAATTATCAGGAAGAGAATTGTATAAAGTGATAGAATTATAAGTAAAACATCTTTTAAGTAGGGCACTACAATGATGTGGCATTGTAAAGGTATTTTTAAATCGGATATTCCTCGAATGAACATTAGAACATTTAACAAATTTAGTTTTTAATGAATAATAAGAAGGAATGGTTAAAATTGTATGTACAAAATATACAAAAATATGATCAAATTTTCTTAATCCATGTACAAGTCGACAACATGAATTTTGAACTTTTTGAATTCTATTTTTTTCTTGTACACTAAGGCATGGACCATAGACATAATCACAGTAATTAAAATAGGAGAGAACAAGTGACTCACATAACATAATTTTTAAGTTTTTTATTCAAGATATGACGACTACTATAAATTAATCTAAGCGAAGAATAAGATTTTTGGAGAAATGTTTTCACATGCTGATTGAATCGTAAGTTACTGTCAAGCAAGAGTCACTCCCAGATTTTTTACGCTGTCAGTAATAGGAATTGAAATACAATCAATTATAATATTAAAGTTGAGTCTTAATATTTGTACCTTTTTCTTAGTATCAAAAAAAATTATTTTTGATTTGCTAGAATTTAATTTTAAATTATGTTCAGATTACTTACTACTGACAGTTTGTAACTCATTAATATCAAAATGATAATATAGTTGAGTATCATCAGCATAAGCTTGTACTTTACATTGTTGAATTGATTCTAAAATGAAAGCAGTGTAAATTATAAAAAGTAAGGGACCCAAAATTGACTCCTGGGGTACACCAGAAAGTATTTCTATACTATTAGATAAAATGTTATTAACACATACCTGTTGAGATATTCAATGTAAATAAGAATTAATAAGATCTTAAGTCGGTTCATCAAATCCATAGTACTTAAGTTGAGAACAAAGAAGCTTATGATTAATTGTGTGAAAAGCTTTAGAGAAGTCCAATAAAACTAAAGCACTAACTAGTCCCCTGTCCTGTGCTTTTATTAAATCATCAGTGACGATAATTAGAGCAGTTGAGGTACTATACCCTTTCCTGAAGCCACATTGCGATTGAGGTAAGAGACTATTATTTACAAAATGACTATAGTGTTAATGTCATAGATGCATACCGAGATTCCTTCCCAGACTAAGGCAGTATACATATACAGGGTAATTATCTCGTACTTGAAGATATTGGTACTGGATGGAGTAAATGTGAAAGTATAAAAAACAACTTGTTTTTTTACGATATTATACACTTTAGAAACATTTCGCCGATATTCTTCTTTTATTCAACTTTTATTTTGAGCGGAAATTATTATCGCTAGTACTTATTTTTATCTAACCTTGTATATTTAGTTACATTGGATGGAATTTTTACAAATCCAGTGATAATATGTCATCGATAAAACAGAAATATTCAACCAAAAGCTCAGCTTCAGTTCAGCTAAATTATGAATAAAAAATATAAAAACCAATATTTTTCCATGATTTTAAACAAACTTCCAGTGAAAATGTAGTCCATCTGAAAGATCGTTAAATTTTGAGTAATTTTTGTAATATAAAGTTTATTTCTTTTTATTTACTTGTTTTCGAAATATGTCGACTTCAATATGCAATGTACGATGTAACAGGAAAATCTATTATTTTATTTAAATCACACTGAGACAAAATATTCTTTTAAAATATTTTTATAATGACTTTATTCATACCACATACTAATTAATAAACATGCATTTCCACATTCCAGGGATCAAAAAATTTGTTAGTATCGCCACGCCATCTATACAGAAAGATTTGAACTAACAATTCCAACTGCAATTTGAAGCTATTCGAGGCACCTAACAACCCCAGTTTCCGGAACAAAAATAAATTTCTTCATTTCGGAGATATTAGCAGCGGGAGTGTTAAATGGTACACCCTGTATATATACAGTACTACACGCAGTGTGTCCAATTAAGTCGGCACAATGTGGGAAACTTTTTTATTATTGGTTTTATGAAAAAAAGTTATTCTTGATAAAAAGTTTTGCATGGCCTAAAACCCAACATGAAGTGATCAGATTTCAATTTTTTGCAGTGTTATAGGAGGTTTAACGAAATATGTAAATTTATTTTTTACATCTACAATCGTTATTAAGAAAAGTTTATCCCAATAGAAAACTACTGTCAGATATCCAATATTATCCATGTACCATTAAAAACAATCTTTACAACAAGTAAATTATAATTTAATTTTGCAAATCATAAAACATTTATTGTATTGAATTCATCGGTTTGTTAGAGCATCCTAGATTTATTATCGATATCTAGACGTAAATTATCTATGTTAATACAAAGAAGAGTTTGTAAAAATAACAAAATTTGTTTTTTAATGGTAGATGGATAATATTGGATATGTAGTTGTACGCATTATAATTAAGACTTCCTATACAGACACGAGAGAGTGCGTATTCTTGCCATTTTACTGTGTTCCATGTGCA